TAACCAAAGGGTTTGCATTTTAAGTGGAGATGGAAATGAAGTGTGGGATCTTGAGAGGTTTTGGAGTTGTGACAACCCCAAATATAGACATAAAACTGGTACCCTTAAAGGACTATATATTTAATAAAATGGTAGTTACGACACAATTTACCACAAACATAGGGCAAAAACAAGGAAGCTTTTCTTTATTGACTTAGGCTTTAAATTAAACAAAACACAATACAACAATAACAAAACACCTCTGCAATGATCATTTATGGTGAGGATTTCGGAACAACGATATTTCTGGTGTGCCTAGCAGAAACAATCCCAAAACCTCTATGGGAGGCCACTCTCAACCCAAGCACACACACTCCCTTGAAGTCTCACTATTAGCTCAGAATCCAAGTTTGCAGCACAAAGAACACAAGGTAGGACACAATCTACCTTGGCTGAGAACTGGGAGATTCAATAATATTAGAGCACACTCCATAAGAATTTCAGATAGCTGAGCTAACAGAGACTATTAGACTAAATAGACAGTAAGATTAAACAGACTAATAGACTGCATATAAAATTAGACTAAAAAATACACATAAATAAAAACCCTAAGAAATCAGAGGAAAACTCATTAAAACCATATTGTAATAAAGTAAACATGCACCTAAATAGTTAAGATGAAAACATAAAACACTTTGTGCTGTTAAGAATGTAGAACCACTAGAATTCCCATATGCTGCTGGTACAGCAACTGTGAAAAACTGCTTGCAGTATCTTCTAAAGCTTAACATGTACTCTACAACCTAGATTCCACTCTTAGAAATATCCATCAGAGGCCGGTTGCAGGAGCTCATGCCTGTAATCCCAGTATTTTGGAAGGCTGAGGCGGGCAGATCACTTGAGGTTAGGAGTTTGAGACCCAGCCTGGCCAATATGATGAAATCCTGTCTCTACCAAAAATACACACACACACACACAAAAATAGCTGGGTATGGTGGCATGTGCCTGTATTTTCAGCTACTCAGGAGACTGAAGCATGAGAATTGCTTGAACCTGGGAGGCAGAGGTTGCAGTGAACCAAGATTGTACCACTGTACTTCAGCCTGGGCAACAGAGTGGGACTCTGTCTCAAACCAAACAAAACAAAATTCCAACAGAAATGTGTGCATGTTTACCAGGAGACAAGTACTAGATTGTTCATAGAGGCATTATTCAAAATACCCAAAATTGAAAGCTAACCAAGTGTCCATCATTCAGTAAAACAGGTCAACAATGGTAATAAATGAATACTAAACAATTATGATGAACAGGAAGTGGGGCCTTTGGGAGGTAATTAAATTTAGACAAGGTCATGAGGTTGGAGCTGCCATGATGGGGTTAGCATCCCTGTGAGGATGAGACACGGTCCCTGTCTTGGCCATATGAGAACACAATGAGAAGGTAGCCCTCTCCAAGCCAGTAAGACAGTCCTCACAAGAACCCAACCACACTGAGCCCTGATCTCAGACTTCCAGCCTCCAGAACTGTGAGAAACAAATATCTATTAAGTCACTCAGTCTATGACATTTTGTCATAGCAGCCCAAGCTAAGACAGCCACAATATGGAAGAACCTCAAGATTGTAACTTTGCGCAAAAGAAGCCAGATATAAAAGAATACAAATCACAGACTTCTATTTATATGCAGTTATGAAGCACAAAACAGACAAAATTACTAATATATAATGTTACATGAAACACTAATCTATAATCTTCATGGAGCAGTAGGGGCTTCTGGAGGGCTTAGTAATGTTCTGCTTCTTGGCTTGGCTGCTGGTTATAGACATGTTTGGTTCATGAAAATTCACTAAGCTATACAGTTACGTGCGATTTTCTGTATGCATATAAAATATCAAAGTAAAAAATATATGCATTTTACTGAAACCCTAAGGAAAGAATAAGATTAACACATGAAAAAAGAAGAGGTGGATTTTAGAGGAAAAAACTTGGTGTTGAAATAAAAACAAAAGGCCTAGCATGGTGGCTTAAGTCTGTAATCCGAGCACTTTGGGAGGCCAAAGTGAGAGGATCACCTGAGGTCAGGAGTTGGAGACCAGCTTGGCTAACATGGTGAAACCTCGTCTCTACTAAAAATAAAAAATAAATTAGCCAGGCATGGTGGTGCATTTCTGTAATCTCAGCTATTCAGGAGGCTGAGGCAGGAGAATGGCTTGAACCCGGGAGGCTGAGTTTACAGTGAGCTGAGATCACGCCACTGCACTCCAGCCTGGACAACAGAGTAAGACTCTGTCTCTAAATAAATAAATACACAGAGTGATTGGAATAAATATATGATTGTTAAAAGACTAAATAAAAATAGAAAAAGGAATTCATTATCAGGAAAAAAGACTGGAGGAAATTCCCCAGTATGCAGCACAGTGGGATAACGAGATGGAAAATATGAAAGAGTAATTAGACACCGAATAAAATGCAAAGACTCTAGAAGAGATGCAATATCCAAAGAAGTAAAGGATGGGAATTGATAAATATAAAAATTCAGGTTCATGAGGAATGAGTTCCGGAGCAAAATAATTACAAATTATCTACACTTGGAAGCCTAATATTTTAGTGTTGGAGAGATTCTTCAAGATGGACTGGTCTGTCTCCTTTGTTGTAACAATGAAGAAACTGAGACCCAAACAGATTAAGTGATTCACCTAGGATCAACAAGTTGACTAATGGTAAAGACAGAAATAAAGTTAATAGCATTTTAAGGGTTATGGAGAAGAACAAAATAATTTCTGAATTTCAACCTTCCGACTATATCACTGTTTATAGCAGCAATCTGAAGATATTCCTGTTCATAAAGAGAATTTAACTCACACATTAACAAATGAAGGCACTGCTGATTCAACTGCCTTAACAAATGTGCTTAATAAATAGTATTTAATGAATAATTAGGACAAACTAGAGCTTTGCCCATACACACCTTAGAGAAAGAAATTGTTTCAAGACAATCCCTCTATTTAACTACAAGGCCATTATACTCATTTCAGTGCATAAACCTCATATCTATTCTCTTTTCCTCCATCTAAATGTTTCAGCACTTTAGAGTGCTTTTGAATCACATCTTTTTCTATTATATACATCACGATATAAGGTAAATTACTTACTTTCTTTGAAACAGAACAATTCACCATCTAGTTGAACCTCAAAATGTTCACTGTAAATCTGATAAAAATTTCAATCTGGTCAGGGGGCATAAAATGTACTGATGAACTGATACAAAGCACTCATACTTAATACAGTAAATCACTTCTGATGATGAGTCAGTGGCTTGTTTTAATTCAACTATTTAAGAAAAAAGACCTAGTCAGTACAGGTAGAAGAAAGTGTGTTTAGCCCTTATTCACATTTCAAAACTCTGAATTCGCAGAGAGTAAATTTCTGTTATGTAAAATTCCTGGATTTTAGGACTATAAATAGTAGTATGACTTTTAATAACTTTTACGGCAATAGTTTTCAGAAATATAAAAAAAAGTGTCAAAATGAAGTGATCTGGTATATTTCAGGTTGAAACATTTTTAGGATTTTTAAAGTCTTTTATCTTTCTCTTACAAGTAAAACAACTTTATTATGTCATGAAGGTTTAGACCCAGAAATTTTTTAATATTTTGATTAAAATGAAAAAAAAACCTGAGTTGGTATTTAAATACCAGACTATCGGAAGAAAGCTAATTTGTTTTATGAATAAGTCTTGAACTTTTCAGAGTATCTCAATCAGTTTCAGCTGCTTATGAGAGTTAATAAGATTTTAAAGTTCCAATAAATTTTAAACTTTTCATACTTTTTAATGTGACAATAATAAAAGGGGGAAGAATTATTAGAATGAGCAAACTTAGCAAAAATTAAAATTAATTCTAAAAGGAGAACAAACCATGAAAAATTCTTCTATCAAGTATTTATGACATAAATAACTCATGAAAATATGTATAGAAACCATTAAGATATTTATTTATATAAATGAACAAAGTATACAGACAAATCATACAAAAGCAAATCAGAGAAACTTTGATTTTTCTCCTATATTGACTAAATTAGCAACCACATATAAAACCCCTAACTCAAATGGTAACACTGTAAAATGTTACAACTCTTTGGGAAAGCAATAAGGCAAACATAAGTCATAAAATTCTTCATGTTATTTCATTTAACAATCCCCCCCCCAGGAATTTATCCTAATAAAATTAAAAACTACTTAAGTATTCATCAATAGAGAAATGGTTTAAATAAAAGTATGAAGCAATATAGTTAAAATAACCATTATCACAACTAAATACATATAGATAATATCAAATGAAAAAGTTAATTTAAAAGTATAGGTGCCTTAAGACTATGTGAACAACAAAAAGGAAAATATAATATAAAAATTAAAATTCTAAAGTTAGTGCATTAAGAGATAATGATATTTTTCCCATTTGGCAAAATCTCCTTCGATGTCTTAAATATAAAAGAAAAATGTTGGCTATTGTTTTTTAAAATTTGTCAACCATCTCTACTCCTCTATTAGCAAACTCTATGTGTCAATTTTTAAGTTGAAAAATACAGCAGAAATCCCACCTATGTATTCTAAAACCTAAGTATTTTCCTATTTAGACTTTAACTTGCAATGAAGAGGACATATTGTAACCTGTGCCATTCCAACAGGCGGGTGTGTCTGCTGCCACCTTTGACTGACACACACTATGGGCACTAGATATGAACAAGTTAAACTGTAAATTTTCATTTTATAATTCTGTGTGTTTGGTATTTTATGTTAATGCATCATGGTATTCATACTTTTTCCTTACAATTTTGTCTCATACTAAGAATTAGTTTTAATGTTTTCATTTAAAATACGTTGCCAATATGTTGAAAATGCCATAATGATGACATAATTTTTTACACTGAATTCAAAGTGGGTTAAGCAAAATAAAAACTTAGTGCAGAGCAGGAAAACACCTTTAAAAAGAAAGGCAAAGCATAAAAATCTAAAAACTTGTATTTTATGACATTTCTCATGAGTCTTCCTTTTGAAACTGTATTTGAGTAAAGGAAGAGGGATTTGAATGTTTCTAAAGACTGGCTGCATTCTGTATCCAACTATGTTATTGCTTTCCCATAACAAAAATATGAAGCATTCATTATATATGAAGTTTACTATTTTATAATGTGGCTACATTTAAAAATTATGGTAAAGACGGATAGGGAACTTTCAGAAAGCTATCTGAATGAAAATGTTTGAGAAGAACTGTTTTTAAATATTTAGAGCAGAAGAGATTAGCTGGAAATGCAGGGCAGCTATGGCAGCATCTATAAATATCTCTTGAAAGAGCAAACTAAAGAAACAATGTCACAGGGATAATGCTCTATAAAGAGACATAAATAAATGCTAAAGCATAAAGAAAAGTTTTTAGTTGAAGACACATTCTTTAAATTTTAAAAATTGTTATTTAATAACTTGGTACAAAGTGCTTGACCATGTTGAAATTACCATGAAAATATCTCATAGCTGCCACAATACAAAACTATAGGAGCTGAAGGTGCTCTAAAGGTAGGAAGGTGACTTTAATTATTAGTCTTCTATTTACATCCTCTTAGTGGTAGCAGCAATAATTTGGTTCATTTACAAATACTATAAAAGTTTATTCGTTTCCAAGATCTAAACAAACACAGGTATTACTAGATAAGGGGTGTTTTATCAAAGAAATATTTTTAATAATAATAAACTCTCCAAAACATAAGAAAAAAGTCAATAATGGCCATTTCAAACAAAGTAAAGAATTTCAATAAAATGAAGCCACCAGGAAGCCTAAATAAAGTAAAAACACTAAATTATATTTATTTTTGTCAAACTAAAGAAACATGGAACTCATACATTATTTCTTTGATTAGGAAATTTGTTCAACTTTTTCACAAGACTGAAGACAGATCAAATTCAGAAATTTAATTTTCTTGAATCCAATCATATTCACATTTTCACGATATAAAAAATCCTAAAAGAACATTCCACAACACAGCAAACAACTGAACAACTGCGAGGCCATTTATAAGGCATAGTAAATAAATTATATGCTATTGAAACTGTAAATGATAGACATTTTTCTTCATGCAAAAAAAACGTTAAGAATACTGTTTGTCTTTTGAATGTAGCTTGCCATTCTGCATCTGCACAAAGGGATTCAAATGTCAACTAGAAAATGATGATATTCCCAGGCCAATCTCAACACGTCTTAATTACATCATCTTCTCCCTTTGGCTCATTTAGAGTTATATGTTCACAGCTCAAAACCTGTTCATTAGACTTCTCAGGTTTTGATTTTTTAAGTGCCAACTCTGCTGGGAAAAGAGATGAGCAATGCTCAAGAGACTGTGCAATGTCATCAATTGTCCATTTATCTTCAGGAAGGGCATGCTCTTCTAGCGTAAATGGCCCCTGTTTCGTTCGGGTCAGCTCTAGCACATTGGCACAGGAAGACAGTTCTATAGCAACAAAAGGTGGGAAAAAAAATCCAGAAGATAAATGATTCAATATCTCATAGTCTATAATTGTTCAAATGACCGAACTCGATTCAAATATCTCAAAACCACCCAAAAATAAAATAATCCAATGTAAGAACCAAGAGCCTTGAGATAAAGGCATAAGTAGCAAAGTAATATTTAATAATTCACCTTATAAGCTGCTGTAAAATCAACATAGAACTTGCCCACAGTTTTGTTATTTAACTCATGAAGCAACCTCATGGAGTAAAGATTACCGCCACTTTACAGATGAGATCATATGACCTGTCCAGTGTGACAACTGCCAGTAAATGGCAGAGCCAGAACCAAAACCTTCTGGCTATTTGTAAGACTACGCCTTCTAGTTTTTAAAAAATTTGAAAATAACTTTTACAAGGTTAAATCTTTCTTTTTTTCTTCTGATCCCTAGTTTGAGTTAAAATCTTTTGTACTTGCAAAGATGTCAGCCCTACATTCATTTTTCCCCGTCTTCATTTTCTGTTCTCTCTTTCTCTTCTTTTCCATTACAAGCATTTCACTGCAGCTGCTGAGGCTGATAATTGCATGCCAGAAACCGACAATGCTTTTAAAGCTGAAGGCAGCAAGAGTTCAGTTCCTAAGGCCAGTACTCAGAAATAAGAAAAATGGAAAATTCCCTCTTCCCACTGAAAAGGAATATTACTCTCTAAATGATAATTCGTAATTCATTTTTATGCTTACCTTTTCCAATGTCACTGACCAAGCTTCTGATATAAAAACCTCCTCCACATTCAACATCTAGAATGTTAACAGTGACATGGTAAATTGCTAACCTCCTATGAAATCCACTTTACATAGAAATGATGCCCGTAAACAAATGTAAAAATGCACTACGCAAACAATTGAGTGATAAAATATTTATGCACTAAAACATAAATTATTCATCCAGTAGCATATGTGTTTGTGAGATTGAAAAGTCAGAGTGTGGAGAAAGCAAATAGCAGAAACTCATGAACACATTTTAAATTAACTGGCAAGTCATACCACTTTAGTACTTCAGCCTTGTTCATTTAATAGGTTTTAAATAGTTAGAAATCTCAGCTTTGCTATCATGAACTGTAGATTTAAAAAAATATTTTCAGATTTGTATGCCTTGTTCATTTAATAGGTTGTAAATGTTTGGAAATGTAGTTTTGCCATCATGAGCTGTAGATTTTTAAAATATTTTCTGATTTATACATTCAACCAAAAACCAACCAACCAACCAAAAATCCCTTTTCACAGCAACAAGAATTATGTTTGGGGTACTGTACTACTCACGAAGAACTCAGCATATTTAAATGTTCTTTTGGAAATACACCTGAAGTAATCACAAAACGGCTTAAAATTACACAATGTCCCAGAACTGAATGTAAATCTAAATTTCTTCTTAATATAATCTAACACAAGCTTATTGGTTAAGAACAGGACTCTGCATTATTTTTATTCATCAGCAAGACTTCCTGAAAAGAGCTGCCACATTTCCACACAAAAGGACTATATTCTAGCTGCTTCTAGTCTTGTACAAATAAAGCCATTTGGGGGAATTAATCAAAACTCACCACCTGAGAATTTTAATAACCACCCTCCCCTCCCTCGCTCTCTTTAGTCAGCTCATGGTTGGGGGCCACTACTGAGATTGAAAGTGGGCACTGGGAGGAAATGCAGGTGTACCAAAATTCTTGCATTACATTTGACATGGGTGAAAAAATACCTTTTGGCCTTTTATTGCTCTCCCTAGTTACTAGTCAATAAAATACTTTCGACTTCAATACAATCTGAAAAATCTGAGTTTTTCTTGCTTTCATAGAGAATATCTACTCTGTCAAACCAGCTGCTTCATTTTCATGGAATGGAGCACAACATTTTTAAGTGTGTTTTTTTCATTATCTGTCAAATATTTTAGAAGCAGGAACCTGAAGAAACAAAGTGACTTTTTTTTTCCCTAATGGTACAAAATCATATCCTGCAGAAACATAACACAGATAAAACAATAATGCCAATAGAAAAAAGCAGTAAGTTTAGGTTAAAAGGTTTTGGGACATTATTTCTAAAATGAATCCCATTCAGTATGCACCATGAAATTAAGGGTAGGCTCAATTTAAGGGAGTCTGAGGATTAGGAACTACAGCTTTGGATTCTTCATAGCTCTTATATGTTTACAACTTTCTGCAGCCAGATCATAAGTTTCCAAACAACAGAAATGAACTTCATAGTCTTTACATTTATTTCAAATATGTATTAGAAATTAAAATTCATAACTTGAACTAAAAACGTGACCATGCCTTACTCATATTTTTCCATATTTACAGGATCTTTAATAGTAACTTAAAGGTGGTGAACAGGGGGGTGAGGGGTTTCTTGTTCAAAAACTAAAAATGCTTTGTTTTCAATTGACAAATTAATGCCAATTCTAAAACTGAATGTATCAAGTACTAAACAAAATGGGAGGAAAAGCATCCAAAAGATAATAAAATCTAAAATTTAAGAAGTATATACTTCTTACGCTTCTCTATAGAGATCTAAAGTATGTTACTTTCAACTTTATAGTAAGATAACACAATACAATACACGAAACACTCAGCCTAGTTAGGAAGGCATTTCTGAATCTTCAGATAGCTACAGGAATCTCATAAAATGTGTTACCAGAAAAAGGTATTAAGAAATCCTAACTTTCCTTAAATTCAATTTTTTAAAAATCTCCAACATCCTACAGATCTATTAAAATGACACAAAAGTAGCCAAATACAAATTAAAAGTACATGTAACTACAAATGATTTCAAATTTCTCCATCTTACCTAATGTGAAAAATGGTGGCTGGAATTTCTGAAGGGAGATACTGTATACAGTCACTGGCCTGGCAGGTTTTGCTTCTACGACTTCACCTCTCTTCATCAAAGTTGAAAGTCTCTGTCCATCTTTCTTTAATGCAGAATAGCTTGTGAGATGGGAGAAAGGGAAAGAAAGGAGAGCAAGAATTGAGGGGGATTTGGAAAGATTGCGAGATGATAATTCCAGATTCTGGTATGGAAAGGAAGGATGGCTGGCAGTGCTTTACAGTGAGAATCTTCCTAAAAAATGAATGAGTTTTTAATTCTAATCTACTCCACAATGCTGTCATGGAGAGAGTTTCTAAATATTTCTAAGGCGGACATAGCCTAATTCTGACACTCAGTAAACAGTGTTGCCAATTTTGTTCTTTAACCACCTTTTTGGAGATGGTCTATTCATGTCTTCTCCTTAGTGGTCCTCATTCTGTGTTAAAGGCACAAGGAATTTAATAGACTCTGGTCATAATAATCTCAGCTATATTTCCTTTAAACAATCTCTACTATAATATTCATTTTTATATGTTACCAAAACATTTCTAAGAAGCTAATAAGCAAATAATCTACTAAGCGTATCTTAGCTTTTCATGATAAAATTTTACTGGAAAACAAAATCCTTGGAATAATCATAGAAAATATTAAAACAATTCTTATAACCAAATATAAATAAAATTTATTTTAACAACAATCCAAAATAATGTTTATGTAGATCTTGCTAAAATTTTTAAATTTTTACATTTGAGGCAAAATCATGAAAAGGTATCTCTTCAGAGATATTTCAGTGTTCCTGGAAAATCCCAAGAATTTAAATACAAAATAAATACTAAATTCTAAAAGAAGTCAGAAACTTATCCCGACATATCCTATAATCGAGTCAGCCATTTTTAAAAACAGGCAATTTGCTTGAAATGGTAATGTGCAGGAAAATATGGCTATAAGGTATTATGATCTGAATGTCAAACCTCAAAATTTATATGCTGAAATCCTAATGCCCAAGGTGATGATATGAGAAGGTGGGGCTTCTGGGAGGTAATTAGGCCGTAGGGCACAGTTCTCATGAAAGAAATTAGTGCGCTTATAAAAGAGGCCCCGGAGAGCTGCCTTGTCCCTTCTACCATGGGAGGACAGGGTAAGAAGGTGTCATCTGTGAAAAAGCAGGCCCCTGCCAGACACCAAGTCTACTGCACTGTGATCTTGGACTTCCCAGCCTCCAGAACCGTGAGAAATAAATTTCTGTTGTTTATAAGCTACCCAGTTTGATATTTTGTTACTGGAGCCCAAACAAACTAAAACAAGCAGTAAAGCAATATACTTATATTTTTAATAAGTTATAACTCTCACTGGTTTCGCTGGTTGCAGAGAATAGTGAAGGCAAAGATTCTGCCCAGTAGGAATGGTCCCAGCACCTGATAGGCAGTGCACATTAGGACTCCGACTTCCCTCCCAGACTGGACTGCTCCCTTCACAACAGTTCTAGGAAAAGGGACATCTCTGGGCTCCAGAACTGCCCTGATGTCTGTTGACAGAATCAGAAAAGCCAATAAACACTGTAATAGCACAGATGCCAGGCTGTGGCCACACCCAGAAACAAAGTAGACCACATTTCACTGCCTCTTAGAGAGTGTCAAAAGCTCCACATCCTGTCTCACCTTTACTTGAACATTTGCCACACCAGATTTAAAACCTGCCTTGCCATATGGCAAGAGGAAGCCCATGTATTTTAATTAGAGTGATGTTAACCACTGGAAAAGAAAAGTAAACATTTATCCAAATTTACTAATTGAACTTACAGGGGGGGCACTTGCATTATATTCCCAGTAAATTTCTGTAGAATGCCTTCAATATCTTCTTGTGTTATTTTATCTGTCAAAAATCAACAAAAAAGACACTAAAACAACCACAGAAGTACATGTACTATCTTCACAGCACCAACAGCCCTGAAAATTCATTTAAAAATTCTTCCAACAAAGCATGTATTACAGTATATGTTCTGTAGCCCAAATTCTACCTTGTAAAAGAATAAAATATACATTAATGAGATAAAAGGGGGAGAAAGTCTTACATTCTTTATTAAAACTATTTCCTTTGCTTCCATTTTTTTTCCCAATAAAAATAATGCAATCATCCTATATATATTCAGTTGGTTCTGACTATGGCCTTAAGAAGATCTGAGGAAAATCCCCCATTAGCTATAGAAATGATCCTGTTGTGATCAATAATGATCAGAATACAGGCAGCAAAATAATTCCCATAAGTTCTTTTCTAAGTTTCTCTAGAAACCAAATGTTGTAAATAACTCAATGTGGTACTCAACATTATCAAGTATTATCCACATATTAAGTTTTACCTGATAAGATTTCAAATCTATTTTATGGCATAAATTTTACACATTCAACATTCAACTCTGCCAAGTAAAACTGCATTTATCTGTCCCCCTCCCCCGCCCCCTTCTCTGTTGTTGGAATTTGTCTCGTTTTTCATGAACACTCCCAGTCAACCTCAAAACTAAGCCAGAAAAAAAAAAAAAAAAACACACACACATAAGCAAGGATTTTAGCATGCTTACTAAACAATCATTTTTTTAAACAATAATTTTTGAAAATATGAAGACATATACATAAAGCTTTTAATATCTGTTAGTCATATTTTCAGCTTTTGTCTGGTACTGCTTTAAACAAAATGATGCAATATTAAAGTAGAGTTCTAGCATGTCCCCTGAGCAAGGATGACATGCAAATTAGTAAAGTGTTTCATATTTCATTTTTATTTATCTATGTACTTATTTTTTGAGATAGATCTCGATCTGTTGCCCAGGCTGGAGTGTAGCAGTGCAATCTCAGCTCACTACAACCTCTGCCTCCTGGGTTCAAGTGATTCTCATGCCTCAGCCTCCCAAGTAACTGGGATTACAGGCGTGCACCAACACACCCAGCTACTTTTTGTATTTTTAGGAGACTGGGTTTTACCATGTTGGCCAGGCTGGTCTCCAACTCCTGATCTCAGGTGATCCTCCTGCCTCATCCTCCCAAAGTACTGGATTACAGGCATGAGCTACCACACCCGACTGTGTTCCATATTAAAAAAAAAAAAAAAGACAAAAAGTTCAGTTCTATAATTTTAAAAACTGAAACCTATAATACACTGAAATTTAGAATTTTCATGCTCAAAGATGTCTTCATACATTTTTCCTATTTAGTAATAAACTAAATCACAGAAATATTCTATAATCTGTTTAGCTCACAGTCAATGGAAAGAAATTTCAGTGCTTTTTCTATTTTGTAGAAAATTTATCTAAACTTTTTATTCTGGTATATGCGTATTAAATTTAATTTTATTTGAACAATATTAAATAAAAACTAGTGTGCTTTGAATTACTGTTCCAATACCAGAATTAAAAGTCAGCATGGAATACTATGTCCAGATTTAATATCAACCCAGCAAGACAGTTTTAACCTCAGTATGACCTTGACCCTTAAAAGCTAACCACAAACAAAAGACCAGAATCTACTAAGACTCAGACAGATACAGAAGAGCTGTAAAACTCAAAAGAATTTCTCTAGCACCTAGCAGCTCCAAAAAGGCAGACTTCAGATGGTGGATATGTTCATACTGTTTCTCAGATTATCTGATGATACAGATGAGGATTTTTCTATGAAAAAATTTTAGTCTACAGCAACATTAAGACATTATTACCAGCGGTACCTTACAAATGTAAGATTTCCAGATCTAGACAGCCAATGCTGTCATCAGGCTGGCACTTGCTGAAAGAAATGCCACTGTTGATAAAATTGCAATGTTCACAACTTAGCTACACATTTTTAAAACAAGGCAAACAGCTTTCTACTTCTACTAAGCTATTTTCTTCACTGATATTCCTGCAAATGTGTGCTCCTTTGTGCTGTTTTGGTGGCCCTCTTTTGCTGATATCACCACACACAAGAAGACAAGATGTGTTCTTTCTTTTCTACTTTTGCCATATTGTCTCTTCCTCTGACTGAACATGTCAAGCATTTATGGTTTGTGTTGTTCATTTTGTAATTAATCATATGCAATTTTAACTATTATCTTTCTACACATATTCTCTCTTCTTTCTACATATTCTATTTCTACACACACACATACACACACAGGTATTAACTTACCAATGAAATTCTAGGCTTCTCAAAGGCAAAGATAATTTTTCTTATATAACTTACCCTATTAAAATGGCACTCAAGACATCTGCTGAATTTAATTTGCTGAAGAATAATAGAATCTCACGGCTGAAGGGCATTTAAAAGTCACCTAGGCCAATCAACCATCTGATGTTTGAATCACTAGGCAGCCTACATAGCAAGCTGTCTTATAATAAAATCTAAGCTTGTGGTACATGAGTATGTAGTACAAACTGGCTATATCTAAAACATGATATAAGTCCAATCAAAATAATAATTGTTCTTATGACGTAAGTATAAAGACTCTACTTCCAAAATATTTAAAAAGAAACATAGAGGCCGGGCGTGGTGGCTCACGCCTATAATCCTAGCACTTTGGGAGGCCGAGGCGGGTGGATCACAAGGTCAAGAGATCGAGACCATCCTGGTCAACATGGTGAAACCCCGTCTCTACTAAAAATACAAAACATTGGCTGGGCATGGTGGCGTGTGCCTGTAATCCCAGCTGCTCAGGAGGTTGAGGCAGGATAATTGCCTGAACCCAGGAGGCGGAGGTTGTGGTGAGCCGAGATTGCGCCATTGCACTCCAGCCTGGGTAACAAGAGTGAAACTCCGTCTTAAAAAAAAAAAAGAAACATAGAATAAAATGTCCATAGTAAGTATATCAAGTAACTGGGTAAAATTAATATATTTGGTAAAAGAAGTACAAGTGTCATAGGACTTGGGTAATTACTTTTTGTTTAGTAAATTAATAAGCCATCAATATGACAGCATTCATTTGAAATTAACTATAAAAATATTTCATAAAATTAATATATACAAGATCATGTTATACATCATTATTTGCCTAAAATTTGACTCTTCCAGTGAACTCACAACATGATGGTTGAGACTTAACTACGGAGCTAAAAACAATATGATTGAGTTAAAAACCATATTTGACTACAATATGATAAAAACCATATTTGACTAAAACCATATTTGTCACTAGACAAATCTTGCCACCATAAACAGCTGTTAAACTGGACAAAATATATTAAGCAACTATTTTTAGACAGACAACAGGCATCAAGGACTGCAACCCCTGAGAAAACAGAAACAAAGCAAGCCCCATGATCACTTGTTTTTGTCTGGAGGTGCTTTCTTAACTGTGGGACAGAGAGGAGAACCTCAAATCACAGTGATCTCACGGAACAGAGATCAGAATCTGGGGAAGTAGTGGCAGCTGGAAGTTGAAGAAAATACACAGAGAAAGAAATGTCTATGAAGGCCCCAGAGTTTCTACAAAATTAACTAAAGAAGCACTACCAAAGCTCTTACAAGAGTGGGGGATGTTTTGATTTCAGCCATCCAGAATGAAGAAACTTTGTTGAATACACAGGACATTTGATAGACATTACAGAAAAGTCATGCTCTAGGAGCAGAGCTAATCTAGACCTGGAAAAAGTCTACATTAGAGCCATCCTAATATTAAATCTATACAAAAACAACTAGAACAAGCAAGTGAGTTTAGCAAAATTGAAAAACACAAGATCAATATATAAACATTAACTCCATTTCTATAAACTACCAATGAATTATCAGAAATTGAAATTTCAGAATATCAGGTACTTAGAGATTTCGTGAACAAAAGATGTAAAGATCTGATATTAAAAACTACAAAAATATGGCATTAAGAAATTGAAAGACCTAAATAAATGAAGAGAGATATCTTGTTTCATGGTTCAGAAGACTCAATATTGTTTAGATGTCAATTCTTCCAAAATTGATCTATAGCTTCAAAACAATCTCAATCAAACTGCCAGTAGATTATGTGTGAGTGTGTGTGTGTGTGTATAGAAACTGATAAGCTGATTCAAAAATTCATATGGAAATGCAAAGGACCAAGAATAGCAAAAGCAACTTTGAAAAAGAACAAGTTGGAGGGCTAACACTCCCTAATTTCAAGACTTACAAAGCTGCAATAATCAAAACAGTGTGGTACTGGTATAAAAATACATAGATCAATGGAACAGAATTAAAAGTCTAGAAATAAAAGTACGTAGATATGGACAACTGTTTTTTTGACACAAGTTCAAAGTGAACCAGAGAAAGGATAACCTTTTAAAAAATGGTTACAAAACAATATCCATATACAAAAAATGACCTTGAATCCATATCTGAAATCATATTAAAAAATTAACTCAAACTGGAGAGAGGGGCATAAAGACACTTTATGATTAATAAACATGTTCACTATTTTCATCATAGCTCTGATTTTATAGGTAAATGCATGTTAATTTTTCAAATCATATATTTTAAATATGTACAGTATTTCTGTATGCCAATTATACTTCTAGAAAGCTGTTTTTAAAAAATAAATAGGGTCTCCAAACTGGATTGCAGTAATGTATTTTGGGTGGTGGAACATCATGGCTGAGCTTGTTCTTGGGTAATTTAGGAAAAGTTATTTGCTGTATATCTAAGTTTGATATTATTTCAAAATAGAAGAAAAGTCATAAGGGACTATTATAAACGACTTTATATCAGTATGTTTGAAATTTTAGATGAAATGACAAATTTCTAGGGAAAAAATTATCTACATTGATATAAGCAATAAAAAATAGCATATCCAGGTCAGGCTCGGTGGCTCACACCCGTAATCCCAGCACTTTGGGAGGCCGAGGCGGGCAGATCACGAGGTCAGGAGACTGAGACCATCCCGGCCAG